AATTAAGGGCAATTCACATATTCCATCTTTTTTCGCGCACAAGTTCGTTATTTATAATGGAGGCATGTGGTTTGTGAGCATAAGGCACTATTATAACGTAACTAATTAAAACGTGCCTCCGTTGGAAAACTTCAGACGGGGGTTCAGCAGTCTTTGACTACATTTGTTCTATTTAAAGGGAAATACTCCTCTAATATGATGCTTCGATTTACACTTGACAGAAACGTTTCATTTATTAGTTTATTTTTTCATTGTTCTGTCGTTTATTTTCAGTGTTAATTTACTGATGTTTAAATGCCAAAAACATTTTCACTTATTTTTAAGTCTAAAGAGAAATGGGTTATATTGTTTGTTTTTATTATTATTTTTTGCTGTTTTAAGTGTTACTGAGCAAAGATAATTAACACTTTTAAATTATAAGAAGTTTTCATGTGATTTTCTAACCTAGTAGTGTTTTAAAATGAAAGAACGCATAATAATCATGATAACTGTGAGACCGTGATTATTCCTCAGACTATAATCGTGCAACAAAAATCTATTATCGTAGCATCGCTAATTTGTAAGAACATCAACATATTGAAATCAACATCTTCCATTGAACGCAGATTTACACCAGTTTACAATAACTACGACTAATTCTGCGGAGGAGAATCCTGTAAATGTGAAAAGAGGCTGTCATTGCTGGTCTTTCTAACGCTATGGTCTCTTCCACAGGCGACTCTGTACAGAGGAGGATACAGCCGGTTTTCGCCATATTAAACCCCTTTCAAACACTTCCAGATTTCCGTCTCTCTGAAACTTCACCAACAGCTGCTGACCTCGGAGGGAAAAAATCCTATCACACTTTTTTGGACAACAAACAAAATCAAAACACGTCTGTTACGAACGAACTCTGCGGTTAAGGAATGCAACTATACATCCAAGAGGTTGGATTTAGATTTTTTTTTTGTTTTGTTTTTTTAAGGAAACCTGACAACACTAAACTGTAACAGATGAAACTCTGACTGAAACTGCTTGACTGAAGCGCGAATCATTTCTTCCTTTGGCTCGTCTCTCTGCACATATGCATGCAGTACCGGCTCTAGACTGCCTCTAGTGGCCATCGAACTACATGTGCTCAGAGTGGCAGGACTGCAGCGAACAAAAACAAAAAAAAAAATGAAAATACACCACCCTTCACTTTCTCTCACACTACAATAATTATCAATATTCTTTAAGAAATGTAGACTTTCATCGGGAATGCTCCTGTCTCCGTTTTTGAGGATGGATTTGAATACTTTGGATGCCATCCGCTCTGTAAGGGAGGACGATGCTATTATCCCAAATACAGCGACGTGATGAAAGGTCGTGGTCTTCCTTTCCCTGGAAAGATCATGGAGGAAAGAAACTGCGACAGCTGTTACAGATATATCCGTGAAGTGTGCGCACACCACCGGGACGACGTGTCATAATCCGTCTTGCTGAAAGCTTTTTGTTCTTTAAACAGTACCTCCGTTCTGACCATTTCCAAAAGGCGTACCTTTAAAATTAAATAGTCATTATATGCAAGTAAACTAGAATAGACACAAAATTTTACCAAACATTATTATTATTATTATTATTGTTATTATTATTATTATCATTAGTTTCTCATGGTTGTTGTGTGATGAAGGGAAGGACTCCATCTGAACCCACATTAATTCACGGCATATTGACTATAGCAAGTATTTAAATTAAGCTTAGAATATAATCTTTGTTTTCCTTCAGATTTTGGGAAGAGAGCTCTTCTCGAGGGATATCCACAAGCTCTTTTATTAGCATAGTTTTGTAAAATATGCAACTTTCAGCCCAAATTTCAAAGTGGATCAAAAAAAAGGTTGTTTTTTAAAGGAGAACTATAGTATTTTTGTCTTCTTCTTTTGGCAGAGAGTGTCCTCTTTCCCTTCAGTATATTGGTATTTTGCTTATTTTCGGTTCCAAAGAAGAGTCAAGCACATTCTTGATTTTTGTGTGTAATCGTATTTGTAATTCTATTGTTTGGTTTATTTTTTTAATGTATCAATAGGTTTTTGATATTGTTTGAAGTGGCTCGTTAATTATTTCAAAATGGCTGGACGTGGATTTGCAGCATCCTCTAATTGCAGTCCGACAGAGCCGCCGCTTTTACTTTCATCTGTGAACACACACACACACACACACACACATGCATTTCACCTTTTGGACATGCGACTCAGTAGTTTTTAGGTGTATCCTGGTGCAGGACTGAAAACATTAGTCATCTTAACCTAATTTAATTTGACCTCATGGGTTTGTTCGTGTGCATGATGACGGGTTGTTTTCATTGACACTAAAAGTTCTGGCCTGATGACAAACGGACCACAATATGAACACTAAACCAGACGGCTCTACTTTTCTTTTGATTTGTTTAGTTTTTATGTTGAAATGGTACTTGCAGTCTATGCATACACTTTCCACAGTATTATAAGAGATTAAAGTATCTCCGTTCCTACAATTCTGACCTTTTAAAGATGCTTTGAGAAATGATATTGCTTGATTCTCTATTTTCTGTCCTTTGTTCGTTTCTCCTGTGGCGGTCCTGCACCGCTGCCACTTCTTTAATACGAGGAGATGGAACTCTTGCGTGACGTTTGTCTTCTGATGAAGGGGTGAGAAGCTTGAGACCCCTCCATCCATTCGTGCAGTAAAGGATTAAAGATGGCGTCTCTTTTATTCTCCATTGACGCACCTTATGAATATGATACCCGTTCCACATACTCTCTCTCTCTCTCCTTTGGTTTACAGTGTAATCGTGTTTCTGAGTTGAGCTCTTTCTCTCTCTGCATATTCTGATTCCATTTGTGATGTAATTTGTATCTGAATGTCCATATAAACTGTTTTTTTAAACAATCACTGGATGGGTCTTTGATTTCAGCTGAATGCATTAAATGGTGTATATGAACACAGACACTTTCAGTAATTGCGGTGAACTGTCGTGCATTACAAAATCACAGTGATAAAGATCTAATTTCCTTAAAAATCAGTGATCTTCAGCACCTGGCTGAGAGATGACACAAAGTGGCTATCAGACCGGACGAGAAGCGCTGAATTAAATTCCATTGAAGATTAATTTTACCACAGTATTATAGTGGAGTTTCTCCTGATTGCGCTGATTTACTCTTTCATCCCGTTTTACACTGTAAAAACTAAATGCATTCTTATATCTATAAACCTGGTTATATTTTAATTACATTACAACACTTATGCTTCAAAAGGAACCTTATGAAATTGAAAATAACCACATAAACATTTCACCGGAGTCATCACAGTGGCTGATAAACACTGGCAGTGCAAACAGCATTTCAGACAGCAGAAACAGGCTATTAAATGATGTTGGTCTAAATATTAAGTGTCGTCAGAGGTTATTGAACTAAGTGTAGCTCTCTGAATGAAATGGCCTGTAAATGGTGAAATTTATTATGAATAATGTTATGGCGTATTTCCGTTTGGATCATGGATTTACCTTCAGAGTTTTCTTCTAGCGTCCAGCAGATGTCGACATTACTCCTCTCAGTGATTACCATCGAGTGTTTCCTCGTAATAAAAGCAGGATATTAACCTAATAACAGAAAATAAGCTAGATGTTTCTCCCTTTAGCTGTAATAACGAACAAATAAGCACTCTCGCTTTACTAGAATTACCTTTTCATCAAAAATATGTGACGTAAAATCGCCTCACCTCAGATATTCGCGCCTTTCTCTCTTCCCTCTCAGCTTGCTGTTTTTGCGCATGCGCGGAGTCCAGAGCTTTGTGGACTTGTTTAACTAATATTTAACTACCAATACTTGATATTCAATTGACAAAAGTAGTAAATCGCTGCGTGTTTAAACGGTGTATGTAAAAGGGGTGGTTCTTTTTTCTTAAAATGTGGACCTTTTTACAGTTATTCACCTCATTTTCTATTTAACTATGATGTTTAAATACTTCAATAAATGGCATTTTAAGCACTTTTTTAGCTGGATTAGCTTGTATCCTCCCTTTTTGATGTACCAAAGATTTTTGCTAAAGATTTATAATAGACAAATATAAAAAAAAAGAGCTTCACGATTTTCTTCCAGCCTCTCTTGAGAAATCTAACAACCACAGCCTAATTAGTAGTCTGAGGCACTCTAAAATGTGGAAAAAAATATTAAAAAGCCTTTACTGACATGATTATTTCTTAAAACTATGCCTATTATAGTGTCCATTTTGGATGTACACTATACTGGCCAGCGGTTCCCAAACTTTTCAGCCTGCGACCCCCAAAATAATGCCAATGACCCACGACCCCACATTCCTCAGAGCTGGTTATAAATATGAATGTTGCACACACAACAATAGGCGTATGTAAACATGAGCATATTGACAACACAAAAAAGTGCTACAGTCCAGCAACCATAGGCTATAATCTATATAGTCATGTATTAATGAAATTTATTATTAACCTCCACTAATGAGACTGGTGGGCACAATGTTCTTAGCACAAGTCTATTCTGGGTTTAATGTTGGAGACTGCCACTCAGAGATCATCCTCAGGGTTCAGTCGTGGCCTGTATTTAATTTTAATGTATTTGATTGCCACGTGTGTCACCCAGTGCTATAAAATCAATCTGCTGATGCTATTGCTGTGGTATAGTAACTATTTACTGCTGTTTTAATCTTCTGTGGGAAGAACCACTGCTGTAGGCCATAACTGCAGATTAATATACTGTTTATTTTGCTTTTCTAATTTGGACTGTAATGTTGTAATAATGTGAAGCTTTTTGTGGAGCTGCCAGGTTATTCTGAAAAGCGCTAGAAAATTAAACTTTAATGTAATTGGCATATTTCTGGAATATAAAATGAATGTACTTTGTAAAACAAAGAGTAAATGTTAACCAGCATTCATCTAACTAGAGTGTTGGTATTTCACAGTTTGCGTTGTGTTAGTCGCTAACATGAACAGCAACGTATCATATTATTGGTTCACAAAGAATTAATGCAAGTTTGTAGATGAAGGAGTTTAATGCTGAACCAGTTTAAAGACAGTCTGTCAGATTGGACACACACAATACTCATCACACACACACACACACTTATGGGAAAATAAATCTTTATTTTTGTGTGTTTTATGTCAAATCAATCAGGCACAAACACAATCTCATGCACAGTTGAAGAAAATAAAGCAGATTTGATCACATTATTTCTCTGCTGTGCTACAGGCAATAGGAGAGGGATTAAACCCAATCTGGAGCTCCAGCTGAAGAACAGCAGCTCCTCCCTGAGGAAAACTGCTCCGTATATCCATTCAGTCCATCCGTTTCTCTGTGTGTGTTGGCCTGAGAGCGCCTGCTGCCGCCGCCGGTGTGTGTGTGATGAATAAATGATCCTCTGAGCTGCTGATTTTACTGTAGATTTAACATCATTTACAGAATGCCATATTTGGCCAGATCGCTGAGCTCCATGTCTCCAAACGCTTCCCACGGGCAGATCACAGTGATGTCTGTCGACAAACCAGAGGAGGAAAACCGTCAGCCTCATGTCATTCAAAACACTCCAATACATTCACTATATACTGTGTGTGTTAGTGTATCTTAAGTTAGTAAAATCCAACACAAGGCATGCTGGGAACTGCATATCCACCAGTCAGGTAGTTTCACCAACACAATTCATTTCCAACCAAACACTGAATGATTACGCTCACAATGTTTTATAAATCTCAGTGGAGTAAACCAAACACAAATAAACTGTACACATAAATAACAGCACTTGTGTTGATTTAGTTTAGGGTGTTTAAACTCCGCATTACCTGTGCCGAGACCCTCCATTCCTGGGATGTCGTCTCCGAAGCCCTTCTGTCCGGGTTTGGGAGCCTTGCTCTTGAAGGTGCGAGTGGTCCTCTGCTTGAACTTTGGTGGTCCTCCTCTCTTCTCAACGGGTTCTGCAACGTCCATTTCTGACAGGTGCTGAAACACACACACACAGAGTTTAGTATTATTATTATTAATATCATTACTGTGCTGAACTGTTGTTTTAATTGATCTCCTGATCTGATCCCATTCCCACTCAACAGATCACCTGCTAATCTCCTCTTCTGGGATTGTGCTAATGCTAATCTATGGGTTACACAATGCTGAGGTTTGTTGACCAACATCGCTCCGTCCGTCTGCTGGTGTGTGTGTGTGTGTGTGTGCAGACAGTGTGAACAGTAAAGCTCTTTACATAATAGTGCTGATCTAGTGTGAAGATGCTCCAATTACAGGCATTAGCATCACATTAGCCTAGCCTACATCTGACACGCATATGCCAGAGCTTCTGCTTATAGCCTGCAGGAAACCTGCTGCAACCAGTGTGTGTGTGTGTGTGTGTGTGTGTGTGTGTGTGTGTGTGTGTTTGCATTGATTAAAATGAGCTACTTTACAAACTGTACAAAACAAGAATCTAACTCTCACACAACACACGCTTGTACAATCCCTGTCCTTTCTTTGTGGATATAAAACACACACACACACACACACACACTCGTTCATCAATAGTGATTGGAAACGTGTGTTAGTCGTTGTTTTGTCTGCTGCATGTTGTGATCTGTGTTGGTAAATGATGACAGTAAGTTACTGCAGTCAATGTAAGATGTGAGGTGTGTGTGTGTGTGTGTGTGTGTGTGTGTGTGTGTGTGTGTGTGTGTGTCGTGGGTCTCTTACCTGTGCTGGAGCTTCTGTTTGTTCAGGTGTGTTTCTGCTCTTCTTCTCTGCAGTTCAGTGTGTGTGTGGTGTGTTCGCCGGCTGCTTTTATAGCGCTGCACTAATCTGTGAAGCTCACAGAAACACACAGAAGGATCGAGAGATTAACACACACACACACACACACAGAAGGGAGTATTTTCAGCTCTGGGTCCTGATGGACACCAGTGTGCAAACACACATGGCTCATTAAGGGCCCTTTAAGTCTAACACACACAAACACACACACACACACACACACACTGTAATAAGTATTGATGTGATATTGATTGCTGCTCCTTTATTTCTGCTGCTCATTATCGTTGTTAATGTAGTGATTGGGTTTAGGTGTTGTGTAGGATGTTAAATATGAGATCATGCTTAAACATGCTCATAAACAGCCTGTATCTGTAATAAAAGCGTGTAGTTAATAGTGGATTTGGTGTTTAGTTATCATCACTGACTCCATCATTTCCTCTGGTGACGCTTTACAGTACGGTTGCATTAGTCAATCTATTAACCAACATGAACACACAATGAGCTCTACATTAATTACAGCATTTATTCATGAGTCTCAACATCACTGAATGGAAGTACAGTTGATCATTGTTAGTTTAGCTCACCGTGCATTAACTACTGTTAACAGGCATGAGTTTGCATTAGTAAATGCTGCACACATGTTAAGTGTTGGTAATTATGACTTGATGTCAGTAAACACATGAACAGACACTGACTAATCAACCCTTATTGTCAAGTGTGATCTTTAATCTGCAGAATAAATCAGCAGTGTTTCATATTTAATGATGATGATGATGATGATGATGATGATCAGTGTGTCCTGAGCTCAGGTGTGCTGTGAGCTCGCGCTGGTTTACCACAGGTCAGTTTTTCTCCATGCAGAGGTCTGAACTCTCTTCCACTAAGTCTGTTTATAACTCTGAACAGTTAAAAACACAGTCTGCTGATATTCTGAGAAACACACACACACACACACACACACAGATACAGAAGAACTTTACTAAATAGAGTTAAGAGCTCTAATCCGCAAACTGCTCTTCCCCGACACTGATTAAGGAGGCTGTGTGTGTATATATAGTGTCTGCTTACAGCATGTTATTGTGCTAATAATTACATAATAATAATATATATGTGGATAATAATAATATACATCATTAATAAGAGTAATGGTTATATACATGGATGATAATATACATGGTGCATGGTGTGAGAAGCATATGCATACAGTGTGTTGTGGGAAATATTAATAACCACAGCAATATTTGCTCTGCTCTCACCGTCTGACCTCTAGTAGAATAATCTTGTTTTTGCTTTAAAATAACCTCCTCCGCTTCCCCTATTGGCAGATTATTGTGCTTGTTTTAAAGAAAAACTCAGTTAATTTTGACTCATTATTTCTGAAATCTAGACTCTATTATTGTGCTTGACTGGAAAGTGCTTCTTGATTTCAGAATGTTCAGGTATTTGGACTAGAATCAAGACTAAATGTAGTTTTGTTAGTGTTGTGTTTGTGCATTTAAGCATTGTGTCTGAGCTGCTGATGTCTGTGTTCAATATAGAAACATTAATCTCTGCTCTGATGATGATGATGATGATGATGATGATGAACTCTGAGCTGATCTTCACATGTTGCATAAGTTAAGCATCTCCATGAAAACAGCGCTTCTTTAACTCTGAGCTGCTGAGCATTAACTCCATATAAACCCTGAGACTCCTAATCTGTCCTACAGTGAACCTGCGGAACTGGAGCAGTGACACATCAGTTTAACAGTCACTAATTCACATCCCCAGGTCACATCTGATGATATAATGCTGGATTACATGTCAAATGAGGAACAGAAGACTGGCGTGTGTGTGTGTGTGCGTGTGTGTGTGTGTGTGTGTGTGTGTGTGTGTGTGTGTGTGTGTGTGTGTGATCACAACCAGATCTGCACTTCTGATCTCGCTTTTGCAAATTAAAGGAACAGTCCACGCAAAACAAATCTCCTCGTTCTGCATTTGTTTGCAAACCTGCTTGAGTTCCTCTCTTCCTTAAAAAGCAAGTGAAGATATTTTGAAGAATGCTGAAAACCGGTGACCAACTTAATTAGTTTTTCCTTCTATGGAACTCAATGGTTTTGGACTTCAACATTCTTCAAAATATCTGCTTCTGTGTTCAGCAGAAGAGGAAACTCATGAAGCTTTCTGCTCTTGAGGGAGAGTAAATAGAGAGTTTTGGGTGAACTGACCCTTTAAATGATGCTGCAATATTTCCTAATCGTGACGCTGCTCACAGAATCACTTGTAAGCGTGGCTTTTGTGAAGTTGTGGATCAGCTGAAAGCTGATTAAATAAGTTTATTGATTTTGACAATGTTTCCCAGTGATGGGTTGCAGCTGGAAGGGCATCCACTGCGTAAAAACTTGCTGGATAAGTTGGCGGTTCATTCCACTGTGGCGACCCCGTATTAATAAAGGGACTAAGCCGACAGGAAAATGAATGAATGAATGAATTTGACGATGTAGTTGACAACAAAAACAACATTATTTCTCTTCCCCCATTGGCAGGTTATTTTGCTTCTTTTAAGAAAAATCTCACTTCATTTTGACTCATTATTTCTGAAAACAACACCATATTTTGTGCTTGACTTTAAAATAATTAAAGAATCTTTAGATATTTAGACTAGAAGCGAGAAAAACCTTAATTTTTGTTGCAATGGAGCTGTTCCTATACTCGTGCAACATAAGACGTGCATATATGAAGCTTCTGGAAATAGGTAAAGTAGACATTTATAAGATGGTAACCCTGTTTTTACTTATATTTGTCCTTGATTTCCCAAATCTTAGTAGATCAACATGAGCATGAGCTGATATATATATATAGATATATGTTTATGATTTCTGTTTGATTGAATTGAACTTTTATTTGACTGATTTTAGACAAGCCCAACTTGTATCTCATACATTTCAAAATCAAACTGTCGAGGATAAAAGCCCAATAAAGCCCTGGGCTTGCTTCCACTGTGGTCCTCGCTCTTATGAAAACAAAGTATGGCTTCAAAATACAGTAGATGCATACAACAAACAGAACCTCCACATTTAATACAGGAACAAAATTCAAGCATTCATTCATTTTCTTTTCAGCTTAGTCCCTTTATTAATCAGGGTTTCACCACAGTGGAATGACCCGCCAACTTATCATGTTTTATGCAGCGGATACCCTTTCAGCTGCAACCCATCTCTGGGAAACATCCACACACACACATTCATACTTATACACTACGGACAATATAGCCTACCCAGTGCTCCTATAGTGCATGTGTTTGGACTGTGGAGGAAACCCACGCCAACACAGGGAGAACATGCAAACTCCACACAAAAACACCAACTGAACCAGCCGAGACTCAAACCAGAGACCTTCTTGCTGTGAGGCGACGGCACTGCTTACTGAACCAATTGCGTCGCCATTCACAATACAACAACAAATAAAAGAAATCATCCTCATCCACCATGCAAACTAATTATCCTCAGCAAACCACCATGTTTTGATCACTTTTTTGATTTTGGTAATGTGTTCCACATGATGGCGCTTGTATATAAAGCATATTTCCCCACTACACTTCTACATTTAATATTAAAAGCCAAACTAGCACTGTATGAAGGCTGTTGCCTCACCATTTGAAAATATTTCACCAAATAAAACCACATGAGTAAACATTTAATCTCCAGTTTAAACTTCATTCTTTAATAACTCTGTGCAATATGCTGTAGGATGAGTTTGTAAATGAATGGTACTCCTTTATTTTCTGCATGGTGCAGTTTTTCCTTCATGCTCTGTGAGCAGCTGCTGTACCACAATGAGTTCACATCATCAGAACGGGTTGAATCAAAGCTCCTGACGATAACTTTAAAGAATGAACATCCGACAGGTCCACTTGCCTCGCAAAGAACCAAATGTTTCCACATATCTTCATAAAAACCTTTCTTCCTACAACATCTCCTGATGATCTACAATACTCCCACATCATCTATTAAACAGCCCAAATCATGTTCACGTTTGACTGATTATCAGGTCACGCTGTTGCTGTGTTCATTAATGAAGCTGTTTTCTTCTCTCTCTTGTTTTCTCAGTTTTCTGTTCCAGAATGAGTGAGTGTGTGTGTGTGTGTTTATTCAGTGACACGTACCCCACACACACACACCTGCGGGTTTCACACACACCTCCACCAATCAGCATGCAC